TGGAGAGCGGGGGCCAGGGCCGCCAGCCCGGGGTGGTTTTGAGGAGATACTAGCCGTGTTTGGTGCCGAGGGCCGGCCCCGGTCCCCCATCGCCTCATGGGGAGGGAGAGGAAAGCTGGAGAGCGGGGGCCAGGGCCGCCAGCCGGGGGTGGTTTTGAGGAGATATTAGCCGTGTTTGGTGCCGAGGGCCGGCCCCGGTCCCCCATCGCCTCATGGGGAGGGAGAGGAAAGCTGGAGAGCGGGGGCCAGGCCTGCCTCAGCACCATCACCCCCTCACACACATAGACACAGACCTCGAGGGGAACTGGCCTGTGCCCTTTTGATTCACAGCCACCAAAGATGAGACGAAAAAGCAGCGTTACCGGCAGAAAATATCCGAGTACATGACCAGAGCCGAAGACATTAAAAAACACATTGAAAAAGAGAAACAAGGTACGGAGCTGTGATGTACCCTTTCGCACATAAAGACCTGTTGCTACGTGAATGTTTTATGGGCAAGGTGGTTAACAGGAATTGCGATCTTCACTGGAAAAGAGACTTCTTCTCTTTTCAGATGGGAAATACCATAAGCAAATCAGGATAGAGGAAAATGCTACAGGTTTTGGCTACGAAAAGCTTTTCCAAGAGTACCTTACGGAGATTGTTTCAGAAGTTTGGGTGGAGGACCCATACATTAGGCATGTTCATCAGGCAAGTAGATACTCAGTGTAGCTGATACAGATGTAACTACTAAAAAAATTCTAGGTTACTAAATCAAATAAAACTTTTACAGTTGTATAACTTCCTACGATTCTGCGAGATGCTAGTTAAGGGGCCGTGCAAAGTGAAAACAATCCACCTCCTCACTTCCTATGATGAAGTAAGTGTCTAGATTTTGGTTTCTGTTTCCCCGTACTCAAGTGATACCACATACAAACATATATATATATGAAATATTTATTTTTAAATATATATTTGTTCTTACTTACCAGTACTTGTTAGACTGAAGCTCTGATGCCTTCAGCAGAAAACAGAGATTAAGAGAAAAATGAAAATGTGATAGTTGAACATAAGGATATGTTCAGAGTTTTCTGATAACTCTCATAAATTCTCGGTAAGCAGAATCTTAAGTGGAAAAGATTTTTGTGAAACTTTTGTTGTGGAAAATTTCATCAGAACCAAAGCATCTATTGAGATACGTTTTTTTTTCCTCTTCCAATAGCTGTATATAGTTGTCATTTTAGAGGCTTTGATGAGCTAAACCATCTCAAACTATCACTGCATTTATTTTGGCTCAAATGGCAATTTGTATCTTGCTTCAAAGGGCTGAGAGCAAGCTCCTCCTTAGCAAGGGTACCTGTAATGTCTGCTCTTTATCCTGTGTTTGAAACTGTGAATCTGCTTTCATCCAAGTTACTTTCTTTTTGTTTAAGTTATTACTAAAAAAGGTTTTGATGGTGAGTTTAGGAAGAGGTGACCAGAAGTAGAATATATAGTTTAAAAAAAACCCTACCATGTTATTTTTACTTTTAACAGGGTTGTGGGAGGAGTCAGCAGATAAGTGGCTTGGAAGAAATACAAAAATCATTGAGGAATTATGGAGTAACACTGAATATTGAATTTTCATCTTCAATACATGATAGAGAAATTAGGTGGGTGATATGAAAAATCAGTGAATGCCAGTTATTTGAAGTCAAACTACTTAACCCTAGCTTTTGAGACAATTTCTAATTACAGCTGTGGTTAACAAAGTGGAAGGAAGTGGCCCTCACTGGATAAAATCAGCCCTCCGTAGTTTCATGCGTTCTAACTGTGAACATAACAGTAGATACCTCTTTATACAGAACAGTGTCTTCCATGGTTCATACAGGTATCGGCTACAGTAGGAAATAATTGTGATTGAAACAAGAAGCTTGTGCATCATGTGGATATAACTGTTTGGGTTTTTTTATTCAGCATACTCACAGATTCAAATTTGTGAATTTTTAAAACAGATTCAACAATGGATGGATGATTAAGATTGGAAGGGGTCTTGATTATTTTAAGAAACCACAGGTAAGAATGCTTTGACCTCTTACAGTAACTTATACTGTAGAAGAGCTCGTTGTATGTTCACCATGTCAATTCTGTTAATTTCTGCAGGGTCGTTTCAGCATTGGATACTGTGACTTTGACTTGCGACCTTGTCATGAAACAACAGTGGATGTCTTTCATACCAAACATACAAAGAAAATGTGATCGGATATGACTGCTTTTAATGAGTGTTTGTATAAGCATGAAAGACTGGAAGATGCTGCTTGCATCCAGCTGTCCACCCTCAGAAGCAACTCTTCTAAGTAGTTACTCCAGGACAGCTTTTATAATTTTTAAGAATATTTGAGAATTTTCAATCTGAGAAAACACAACTGTACAATTCCTCCATTGTACTTCTCCCATAATCTTAATTAGTTGAATCCACATCTAATTTCATCTTGATTTCATAACAGACCCACAATACTCTCAAAGGCCTCTTTACTGTCTTTTCTATTTTTACTATTAATTTTGTCTTGAGCAAATTTTGGTTTTTATATCTTTAATTGACCACCTCACAAACATTTGAAACTGGGCTGCCACATGTCCTCTTTCGTAAGCAGCCTTATTTATTTCCTTTAATTCCTGTATTCTAGTCACGACTGCTGTTCTGCTGTGTTTTGGTCAATCCCATAATACCTGATTTCACAGACTTGAATAGTAACCCCAAATCTAACATTCCATTTTCCAAGCTCTTTGCATACAAACATTGTAGTGTTCAGTATACAGACGTTTTAGGGTCATCTTGCATGTTTGCATGATGGACTTTGGGCTGGAAAGGATGCAAACAGCTATATTCTTTCCCCTGTCATTCCTGTGTGTTCTTTTATTCCATGATATATGGTCACGTTCCTGATTTCCACCCTTTGCATTAGGTGTGGAAAGGTTGTATGATCCTCTCCCAATCTTTTTTCCCTGACATGCAAGTTTAAAGTCCTTTCAGCTAGTCATGCCAGCCTCAGCTGCAGTAAGCTATTTCCCTGCCACTAAGGTAGTCCCCTAAAAATATAGTAATTGATTTTTAAATTCTTCCAGAAGTTGGATACCCCAAAACTTTGCTAATAATGATTCTAAGGAATATGCTAATTGGAAAGAAGACAAAGTCTCGTCTTTCCTTCATCCTTTGGAAACCAGAAAGTATCACCTGAGCTGCTGCTTCTTCTTATACAAAAGTTCTTGCTCATTGTCGGCAAGAATACGGCAAAGTTGTTTATTCTGATACGAAGAACAGGCAGGGGCCTCTTTTTCAGGTCCCATTAAAATCTTTTCAGCCTCAGGACCGATAGGTGCCTTATGCTTTCTGCATCTTCTACTGCAGTAGGCCTCCACGTTCTGGTAGCGTGTTCATTGCTAGAACTTTTTCTCTCTTCTGTATTTATTTTTGCTGATAGCTGGTGTATTCCATTTTTCCCATTTTTTTAATTTGCTTTATTCTTCTTTTACCGTCTGTCATCTAATGCTGCTATTCTTTTACTCTTGTCTCTAATGCAACAAAGCTATTCCACAGCTATTAAGAAGAAAAAGAGCTGGTCTTCGCTTTGTTCTCTGCGTCACAATTTGCCAGTGGTCTGCCTTCTTTATCCTTTTGCATAATAATGTTTCAACTTTTCAGTGTTACATCAGCAGAAAGAATAACATACGTGCCACAGAAGCTGTACGCAATCAGTGGTACGCAACCAGCTGTACGCAACCCCAAACATTCCATAGAAGCTCTCTAGCTTGCTGCCATGATACTAGGTTTATAGTCACTGTTGTCAATTTTATTCAGTTGTGTATAATATATGCCTATTTTTAATGGGAATAAAGGTTAATTTTTATTATTTGTAATTTTAGTCATCTGTTTGAATTCTTGTCTGCACTACATAAAGTAATTCAAGGAAGCTGGGTAATGTCTTATAGATCAGCCACCTTTGGGAGAAGTTCACTGTAAATACAGTAAGCTTCCCAAATGAAAAGCTTTGTATCTTTTTAACTTAGTCCAGCAATTTCAAAGGTACAGGGGCAAAATAAAAAGCCACCTTAAATATTTTAGATTAACTTTACAGTTTAGTACTTAATTGGAAAGTAAATAAAAATCTTCATGCTTTCTGCATTCTGTAATACAATATGCCTCTGTTCTAGCAGCAAGCCCTTATGATGTGGTCCTCTACAAATACAAGACGCAAGCATGGTCTTCCCTCTTTCGCCTGTTCATTGCTAGAACTTTTTCTGTTTTCTAATTAGACTATAATTCACCAGCTAAGACTACAGATTTCCTTGCGGATCCTGTGGATATGCAATAGCTGTACATATGTATATATAAGCCTTTAGTGACATACCAGTTGGTACTGCCCTGCAATTTTTACTAGTTGGTACTGCCCTGCAATTTTTACCTATAAGTGCTTTATCTCTGAATAGTTCCTTTCTCTGTCAGTATGAACACCATGTATGAAAAGTAACGGGCATCAATGAATGGAAAAAAAAAAAAATTGGAGAAATCTAAGAGTACAGTTCCGCAATCATTTTACTGACTCCAGGCCATGTTTTTCTGTGCTGCCACTCACCCTTACGTAGTCAGGTCATCACCTGGATTGTGCAGCCAGAACTGTCCCTCCTGGCATCGTCTGTGGAGACGAGCTTAAGCCACCTTCCCTGCTGCAGTCAGCTGAGTGTCGTTCAGGCCTACAGTGTGACTGCCAGTCCTAGCTGAGGGCTGGATTCACCCCCGTTGAAGGCTCTCCTTAGCTAAAGGTAGGTTGCTTCTGCCATGTCACTTCCTCCTACTGAGTGCCAGCTTTTAAAGACGACAGTGCGCAAGTAACGTAGTAACAACTCATAGGCCTTTGCAAGCCTTACTTGTTTAGAAATATTTGCTGTTAATGGTTTTGTCTGCAGGATTTAATTGGCAAAGGACTGAAGTATTCATAAAAGGATATGCTGCCTAGGGCATATAATGTGACTGTCTAGAGCATCATGTGAAGAATTTCAGTCACTGCTTAGCACAACCTGCTTATCTGACAGTTTGGTGAAGAATGAATTGTACACCCAAGCAGTATATGACTGTAACTGCCCCACTTGTGCAGAGTTCCTATCAGCAGAGGCTGTCTCTCTGCTCCTCTGTGTTCTCTCCTCTAGCAATAAATTGCTGCTGGTTTGACCTGATCAAAATTGCATTCCGATTATTCTGTGACAGAATTTGGTGCTGTGCCATGGATTCACACATCCTGCTTTGCCTGGGAGGACCCCAGACTGATCCTTGCTGAAAACCCCTTGGTGCCACTCAGAAAGGTAAGTGACCTTTTGAAATCCCTGCTGGAGCTTCAGCTGAGGTTTGTCTGTGGGGACAAGGACATTGGAAGTCAGAATGTCCTTACAAACCTAATCCTTCAGTGACCCTCTTTCTACCTAACTCTTCCTTCATGCCCCAGCCTCAGAAATGTGATTAGGACGGCCCCAAGGACATAGACATCATTGCTGCTTTACTTTCTTTAGGTCAGACTGGTCCTTATTTATCTTGCCCTATTAACAGCAAGATTGTTTCTTCCCTAACTGATACCCGTGTTTCTCGATCCACCTTATGTCTTTAGGTCAGACTGGTCCTTATTTATCTTGCCCTATTAACAGCAAGATTGTTTCTTGCCTAACTGATACCCACATTTCTCGATCCACTTTATGTCCCTCTGATTTTCTTGCAGTTCCCTGATCTTCAAAAGTAGTAAATGCTGTTGGTATTTCAGGACAACCTGTATGTCATCCAGTAACAAACCCTTTGTAACTATCCACCTCATTTCTGGATACCATACTTTCCTTTGAAGTCCCACTAGCCCAGTTAACCTTCTGGGAAAAGACTTCTATTGTGCCATATATTGTGCCCTGACTGGAATTTACCTTGACGTGCTTACACCTCGACAGGGTGAATTTATGGCTTTTTTGCTTGATGAACCTCCCACTCTGAATTTAACTAATTCTACTACTCAAGGGCAGTTTGGTGAAGAAGTTGTATAACATAAAGGTATATAAACTGTGGAACTGCCTCATCTGTGCAGAGTTCACATCAGTGGAGTTTGTCACTGTTGCAATGGATTCTCTCCTATAGCAATAAACTGCTTCTCTTCTGACCTGATCAAAATTGCATTCTGCTTATTCGGCAACAACAGTGAAATATATCTTGAGCCTTTCTTTCATAGTATTACTTTATCTTGAGCTATTGTTTTTAATGTGAAAACTGACATTTTCAGTTCACTATTGCCTTTCATTAGCAAATTTTCTCCTAGGTGGTAACATGAGGAACCTCTTTCTCCTAGATCTGTATTTGCAAGCGTATTTCCTAATGTAGAAGTAGTCTCACTTTTGGCTTAGATACGGGTACCTACAGCAGCAGCGACTCCCAGCTTTGTGTCAGGCAGTGCAGGTACAAAGGAGGCACATATGGCCTCCATCCCAGTTAGCTTCTCCTGCCCTCAGCACATAAACCCCCACACTGAACTTCCAAATCCTTCCCCTGCTTTTGCATATCCATGGACAAAAGCCCTAATCCACGCTGGAACTGCTGGACTAATTCACGACATAGCGGTGAGCTTAGCTTACTGCCATGCTGGTACAGCGGAGGCAGAGGGTCACCAGCACTCTGCAAGTTTCAACTAGAAACCAGGGGGACACCCCTCTCCACACAGCTCCGGGGCTGAGATGTGACTTTTGAGCTACTATCTCCGAGGAGTGGGATGCAGGCTGGGGAATGCACTACAGCAGCACAGCGACAGTTTTCCATCTACCCCATCCCATTGGTGTCAGCCGTTTGTACCTTCTCTGCTACAGAGCCAGTTTGGGACGCCTTCACCATTTTCCCTGGCGTAAGCAGTGACGATGTCTGTCAGCACAGAGCAATACAGGGCTGCAGCCTATTGTAGTGGCTTACATCCCACAGTTTGGGAACCTCGGGCACAGGCAGTGTGAAATCTAATTGCTAGTAGGTAATATTAAGGAAAAGCACAAGATCAAACCACTTTAATAGGAAAAAAATTCAGCTTGTAGAAATTAATGTTTAATTTTGTTTTCAATAAATTAAATAAAAAAGCAGCAGCAGTTTAACTTAATTTTCAAAATGCAAGTCACATTAACGTTATCAGATTCTCACACAGCAGATTCCACCTGCTCTGCAACTCATCATCTTGTGGACACACTCTTAGTAACGTTGTCGCTAGCGTAGTGGTTTCATTTGGGCAAAACTTACTGCCAGTAAGGCTCTTCACCAGTTCACTGCACAGCGCTGGTGGCAGCCACTGCTCTGGCAGATCAATGTTACAGACTTCAATCCTTCCATGCTTTACATCCATATCCACTTTAACGTCAAGAACAGAATCTTTATAGACCATGTCAAAACACGTGTTAACACTGAACTTTGGTGTCTTTCCATATACCCATTCCCAGGTTTGTAGTTCTTTAGTTTTATTATTAATTCCAGGAAGCACAGTCTCATCAGCTGGATTTATTACGGTGATGTGATGATCTACTTGGTGTTGTGTAGCATATTCTTCAGCAATGGCATCCAGGAGCATCTCACAAGTTAAACTAGGATCCTCTTCAAAGAGATTTTTCACGGAGGCAGGCACGCTAGGAGTGGCATTGCTTTTTAGCCCTTTATAAGGACTTTTTAGCACAGCAGATAAAACAAATTTATCTGCATTACAGAGTAATGTACAGTGGTGATAAGCAGTTGTCCGTCCCAGCTTTGCAGCAGTACCTGAGATTTTGTAATGTCTGTCTAGCAAGATGTCATATCTGTCAGTGACATGTACATCTAACTGGGGGCGCAAGGATTTCAGTGCCTTCACAACTAGTTTCAGGTTTTCCATTCGTTCGTATTTTTTTCTGGTTGTAAAGAAAGTCAAATTGATATTGCCTAAGTCATGGTAAACTGTCCCTCCTCCACTTCTCCTCCTGGCTAGTTTTATCTTTTTCTGCCGCAATAGCCTGAGGGTGCATTCCCGCCAGGGATTCTGATGTCTCCCTATTACCACAGCAGGGGAATTTCTCCAAAGGAAAAGGACCTGTCGGTTCTCTAAATTCATGTGGTCGTGGATCCAGTCTTCCACCGCTAGATTTTGGTAAACATCATTAGAAACAGACTGGACAATGAGGCCTCCACTAGTTGTGTTTCTGAAGTCAGCTTTTGGAGTCCTGAGGATGCAGGACAGCTGAAGGCAGTTCTTTAATGATGAGCGGAGTACCATGTTTTTAATAACTGGACAGCAGATGGAAGGAACACTTGATCTGGTAAAGCTGAATGTGGCAAGCGCGCAATCCACTGTTGTGACAGAAAGGAACGGCCAGTGGCAGTCACTCTCTCCCCAAAGAAGCAACGCTCCTCAGCTACTGTGAGCTGCGAGGCATGTCTCTCCTCCTGACGGTAGTGATGCCGTTCAAACCCTGACGCGTACTTAATGTAAAAGCAGGGCTTGTCGGAGTGGCTTCTCACAGTCCTCGGTGCCTAAAAGACCAAAGGAAGAAATGGAATTAAACTCTGTATTTTTCCCTCACTCAATACAGTCTTGTTGGTACAGTTTTGTGTGTTCTGCTAAACTTAGTTTTAGCAGTCCAGTTTTATTAGGTTCGGCGATATTTATTTTTTTTACATTGATCCGATAAGAAAAACAGGGGCATCAAGTTCACGATCTTGTTGAGTCACAGCGACGAGCCAGCCAGGCGCAGGGCTGGCTGCCGTGGAGCCCGCAGCTCCCTACCGAAAGGCCAGGCGAGCCCCGTTCCCCCCCGCCGCCCCGCGGCGATGCACCCCCTGTCTCCCCCCACGGCCGGTACTCACGCCTGCCCGGAGGGGACGGGGACGGGAACGGGCGGGAAGCGGCGGGGCGGCCCCTCAACACGCTCCGCGGCGCCTTCCGCTTCCCGGGGTGAGAGGTGGCGGGGGCGGGACGGCGGAACACCGGGACAGCGCCGCCGGTACGTGAGGCTGCCGCGGAAAGGAGGGAAACCTCGTTGTATGAAACCTCTCGCTTGTGAAACCTCTTTGTCTCATCTCTGTTTAAACAGAGCCTCTTCTACTTTTTTTTTTTTTTTAAACACATTAAAATCATCAAGATAGAAATATTTTAAGCAAATAAAGACGTTCAAGACAATGAATTTAAATAGCTCTGTAGTTTAAAGTTATTCGCCATCAAGGTATTTGCGTACCCTGAGTTCTACCTGAATATCTATTAAATTATTCAGTTAGAAGACTTCCTAGAATTCCTTCTGTCACTGTAAAATAAAAATCCCCTCTTCTTGATCGGAATAAAATGAGACGTTAGTATTTGCATTTTCTCAGTACTGTCACTGGTTAAGTTACTAGAAATTGGAGCTTCTGTACAGGCAATTACTACAAATGTGATGGTGCTATGATTTCTTCTCAGCTTGGCCATGTGGTGAGAAGTGCTTCTCTATTCTGTTGCGTTGAATTCATACCTCTGTTCAGTTAACTGCTTGAGATTTCTTTTGGGTTTCCTTCGGCTTTAGCAGGAATTGAAATTTTATTTCACACACCTTCAAACACTTATCTACACTACTGAAAGACTTTTTTTAGTTTCAAAAAAGACTTTTAAAACTTATTTCTTGAAGAAAAGTCATAAACCTTGAGGAGATTTTGACCATACTTAAAAATCATGAAAGATTGGCTAAGTTCAGTTAAAAAGTTTCTTTGGCAACACAAGGTAACATCTAAGATTCCCAATTATTATTATTAAACTTAGTAATATTTTCTTGGATTACGAATCAATTTCATGGCCTTTTCAGATTAAAAGTTGTCTTAAACAATGGTGGTGCAGGTGGGGAAGGCTGGGAAGGAGACAGAATGATTAGGTGCTGTGCAACCTGCAGCTGAATAAGTTAAGGCTCTTCAGCCTGGTAAAAACAAAAACCAAAACACAACCCACAAAACAAACCTCTTATGGTAAGAGATTGTAAAATGGTAAGTGATACTAAAGAAAATAGGTCAGTGGTGATCTTTACTGTCTCTCCCAACACAGTGACTGTGAAGCATCAGATCATGCCAGCAAGAAGCAGATGCACCACGGATAAAATGAGTGATTCTTCGTTCAAGACCCAGCTGTGCAGTTCCTCGCCACAGGAGGTTCCAGATGATAGAAGGTCTCGTGAGTTCAAAGGGAGACTGAACAAGTTAACACAAATGCACAGAGGCGTGTCAAATAAATACATAGACACTATCCATGGCATTCATGAAGATACAGAAGCTAAATGTTGATAGCATGGTTCATTAACGTGCTGGAAGTAGACAAAGACTAGATAATTAAACATGTATTGCATGCAGCGGATTGTCTTCAGATTTTAATTGATTTAAGCCATTCTCAAAGTCTATCAGACCTTAGCTATAACTCTCCTTTAAATTTACACTGTGGGCCAATGCTCAGCACTACTAGTTGAAGTTTTTATCTACAGTAGTATCTATATGGGCAAATATGTGCTATATACCTCCTGCTAGTGTACATGTATTCATGAAGGATACCTAGGATACCTAGCATGCTTTTATTTCTCATTCCTCCTCAGTATTGGAGTCCCAAGACATGAAGGAATTGTAGAGAAAAAGGGTGGGACAGTGGGTTGTGATAGTTCACGTAGACTGATCCTCTTAAAGAGGAACAGGTATGGGGCATTTTTCTTCTTTTTAGTTCTAGGAATAGGTGGCTTAGGAAGAAACACCAAGTTGATATCCTTATTCAGGTGAACCAGTGAAATTATTTGAGGATACAATTTGGCTTTGGATGTGAGGTGTTTATATGTTTGCTTTACCAATAAAGAAAACTGTTTATGATGGGGCCTGAATTGCCTTTACCTTCTGATTGAAGAAACAGTACTAGAATAGCTATATTCCCTGAAAGGTGAAGGACAAAACAAGGTGGATAAAGGGTGAAAGGCTTCAGAGATTAACGATGTGAGCTTGGGGTTGTTTCCTACTGAAGAGAGCAAGACAGTTCCTTACCAAACTCTTAAAAGAAATGTGCGGGTCTAGCAGGGCAAGCAAAAAGTAACAAACCATCACCAGATGTGTACTGGTGGTCACTAGTGGGAGAAACAGACTCTCAAAGGAGCGTGATGTGGTGTGTGCCCCAGCGCTTGGCATGTTGTATTGTCACATTAAAAAAAAAAAAAGGTGGTAATTATTTTAAGCAGTTTGAAATGGGCTTAACTTGTTGCTAAATTAGACTGGTGATAACTATTCGCTGGGGTGAACTATCCTCTAATGCATAGGATAAAAAGCACATGGTGATTGCCTGTAAAAATGTGTTTATTTAATGTTCAAAGTATTGGAAAATCAACTTTTGAGGCAGTTGGCCGAATGCAAAAGAAAATCCGGGCACTTTGACGCTGGTTAGAGGAAGTGAAAAGCATCTTGTGGGACTTCTGATGTTACTGAAAAACAAAAATGCTGGACCACTTATTTCCAGTTTGGCATGTAACTTTTGGAAATTTGCAATGTGCCGTTTTGCCACGGGGTGTCACTAAAAAGATACTGTGAGATGTTGCACTCTGTTTTTCAAGGTGAAAACTGTGGGCCTAACCAAGGCAATTCTGTTCCTTTAATTGGAACCAGAACTTGCTAAAAATGTGAGGTCTGCAGACTACGAGATGGACAGATAAAAATATCATGGGTCTGTTTCTGATTTGCTGAATGATCTAATAGACATGCAACGATAAATACCTTGAAGAGTGGCTATTGTTGAAGACAAACCTAGCTAGATAATTAGAAATATTCTGGCAGTAAGCAAAAAGTATGAATTTATAAACAGGATTATGTTACATTATAAGCCGGCAGAAGATCCTGACAGAGACACTCAGAATATAGAGTCAGTCCTTGGTAGGAGCCACCAAAAACTGCCTTCGGGACACCTATTCCAGTGTTTCTCTTAGGAATGCAACTCTGGGTTCAGTCTCTCTGTGCGGGAACCCCAAAGCCATTGGGCTACTCTCCTGTGATGGAAGTCTGAGGCAAACATCCATCTGCATAGCTGGTGTTAATTTTCAGAGAGTCCCAGGCAGCAGCCTAAAGAGGATTAATACTTTCTTCATTTGCATAGCAGGAGCTGAATTATGCATGAAGATGTGACTGGGGCAAGAGGGGGGAAGAAGGCTCGTGTTAGCAGAAGAGAGATTGAACAAAGTCACAACAATGCTGATATCTTCTTCTCTTTCTAGACTTGACTTTAAATATCCAGCTTGCCAACTGGACCTCCACAGTAAGAGGTACTCTAGTCACCTTAGCTCTGCTGTTGTCATCATAAATTTTAAACTTTTAAAAGTCTTTAGAAACATAACATTCTCCCAACTCATTTTAGAGAGATTTTTCACATTTTCTATCAGTCCTTAGAACAAAGACCTCCCTGTAAAGATTGGAGGTCTTTGTTTTTCATGGGCCAGTAAATAAGCCAGACTTACGCTGTTGCTGTGGTTTCAAGTCTCATGGCCCAGCTACCTGATAAGCAATTCTGCATTCATGTTTTAGTGTCAATGTAAACTGCTTGAATTTCCCATCAGCCAGCTTGGTGACGACTCTAATAACGAGGTGAAAATAATTATTTGGTTTCATCTGCTGGAAACACAGAAAAGGGGCAAGTCTATCAAATTAACATCAAAACCAGAAAATATCTCTGCCATGTTATGTTGGCTAACAGGACTAGTGGGCTTCTGACTCCTTAAACGGGCCATGCGTTCTGTTGCAGAAACACATCCTTGATGCCTGCCCTAGCCCCATCGATGTAATTTGGAACAAACTATAATGTTTCCACATCTGGCCTAATTTGTCCCAAATTTTCAGATGTGGTATCTGATACTTTCCCAATGGATAAAGTGTACGCACCATGATTATTTCTCTCTTCACTCAGTCTAGTGAGGACTGCATTATGTAGGAAACTGTGAGATGTGGAGAGTGAGGTTAATATAAGAGAGGTCATGTGAGGCTATACTAATGCCATCTTCTCTGTGTACCTACATAAAAACCTTTCTGAATTTGACTTTAAAATTTCTTATGTCTCAATTACTTTTGTATAAATCATGTATTTGCAAAACACAGCGGTGATTATTTTTGCTTTTGAAAACAATCCTGCATGTGAGTTTCATTCTTTCTTTGGTCAACAAAGTTTTGTTTGGTACACAAAGAGAAAAGCAACTGCTCTGCACATTAACCAGCATTAACACGTAGAAGAGAAATCAGTATACGTCACTTAGAGAAAACCATAGACATACCAGAACGAAACCAATTAAAAATATATAATTTCACTCCTAAAATCATTTTTTCGTGAAGAATAATTTTGGTAAAGTTATGAAAACCTGAAATGCTATCTTTTCACATGTTTTTTGGAGATAAACATGATAGTGCAGAGTCTTCTCTGATGATTTCCACCATACCAAAATCAGAAAGTAAGACTTATAAGAAATCCAGGATGAGGAGAGGAAAAGAAAAAAACTCATTTCTCTTGCTCTTTTTCTGGAAGTTAAAATCTTCTAATTTCTTCTCCGTCCTTGGATGAGGAGCATATTTCATAGTTATTACTCACTCCTAATCTCCAAAAAGGTGCGCTCTATCCATGTGTGCTTAATAGTGGCAGCTTGCCAAAAAAAACTGTCATTCACCCGGCATTGTCTCCAGAACATAAAATCTGTGCTAATGCTTAACAGGGAAGAGAGTACCTTTTCCTGGGTTTCTCAGCTTGACTTCAGGACTACCTAGAACAGCCTCTTTCAAAGACTGTTTATATCCATGCCAGACGTGAGCAGGCAATAGGAGTCACAGGATTCACATGGCCTCCTTACCCTTTTCACATCGCTTTCTTCAAAGGCGTCAGTCTTCTCGTCCCTGTCTGTGCTATTCCGAGAAGAGACGTGCAGCTACATGTGCTGTAAATAAGAACTCCTATCTTAGGGTATAAGAAAACATATGAAATAATTTCTTTCATATGATTTTGTTAGTGGAATAAAGAAAAGCGTAATTAGCCTTGTAATACCGAGACATTTTAACTTAACAATGTTTGTGAACCAGTTAATATGTTAGTCCTAGCATTAAAAAACAGGAATGAGTTCAGACTGGGGTTTATCATATGTGTGAAGCTAATGCTTGACACTGTCAAGAAACAAGTGTAATGTTAAAGGTAATACTTATTCTGGGCAATTACAACTGGCACATATATCTTACAAATACATACATAAATTAGATGGGTTTCAGATAGAAGACAAGGTTTAATTAAAGGAAGGCTATTTTCATAAGATTAAGTCTTTCTCTTCTAACACTTATTTTGTTCCTGTCAAGCCAGAGAGATTATATGGCATTTGTTGGCGTTTTCATCTGTAAAAGTGTCTCCCTGGATATTACCTTCTGAAGGAGATGAACCTAATTAGAGTAGAGGTGTTCAGCGGAGCTCCCTGAGCTCACTGCCTGTCCTGGCTGATCAGCTGTGGCAGTTTTAGAATACCCGTCTTCTCTCCTGGGGCTGGACTGACAAGGCACTGCTGCTTGGCTTTGTCTCTGAAATCTTCTGACGTGTAAGCATCGCTCCTGCTGCCTTTCCCTGTCTTTCTCTGAGGCTTTAGGATTAATCAGGGGTAAGGCCTATGCTGCACGTGTGCAGATGGGCCCAGGGAGGTTTGAAGTAAAGGTAGTTAAAGGTGCTTCAAAAACAAAGAATTCCACTCAAACCAACAATGGGATGTATTATTATTGCATATGTCAGAGTATGCCAATCCGTGATAGTCACCCACCTCCCTGTTTCCATGCCCAAATAACTATGAAGTATTGAACCATTATTTGAGGAAGTTGTCCTTTTATCTGTCAAGGTGTGGAGAGAACGTTATGCCACTTGAGGAGAGGCTTGGCTTAGCTCCCCCCTGCCCCAACAAAAAAGCCATTCAAAAAAGGTATAGCAGCAACTGGTCACTCAATATTCATTTGTATTTAAAACCAAAAAGACTTATGAGCACCTTTTCTTGACTTTAGTAATGTTTATTGAGGAACTATGCTATAAGTCATAAACCTGATATCTGAAAGCTTAATTTTCATAGATAACAGTTACTCAAAAACCTCCCAAGATGAAAGCAAATAGAGAAATAATTAAAAATTCTAGGAAGGCAGTGTTCACAAAAATTTATATCAGAATTGATGAAAAAAGGTGTTTACTGATAATTTCGTACAATATTTTACAGTGCATCTTTTTTTTAAATTATTTTTTTAAGATTATTTCTAACCCTTCATTTCATTTTGCCTCTAGCATTTCAGTCATACACACCTGTAAGGACAACAAGTGTTATGATCACCTTTGAAAGCATGATTACAGAGAATAAAAGCATAGAGACTGTGTGCTCACTACACGGAACCATTTAGGTAACCTGTTGTGCTGTTGCTGTGCCAGAAGTTGTTATGTCCCTTGCAGCTGCTTGGCTTCTCTCCCGCAGGACTCCCAAACCTTAGGGGGAAGGGCAATATTCTGAGAATGTGATCAGAATCATAGAATTGTTATGGCTGAAAAAGACCTTTAAGATCATCAAGTCCAACTGTTATCTAACTCTACCAGGCCCACTTCTAAACCATGTTCCTGAGCAACATAGCTAGATGGCTTTTAAATACATCTAGGGATGGTGACTCAACCACTTCCCTGGGCAGCCTGTGCCAGTCTTTGATAGCCCTTTCAGTGTAGAAGTTTTTCCTAACATCTAACCTAAACCTCCCCTGGCGCAGCTTGACACCATTTCCTCTTATCCTGTTGGTTCTAACTTGTGAGAAGAGTCCAATGTCCACCTCGCTACAACCTCCTTTCAGGTATTTGTAGAGAGCAATAAAGTCTCCCCTCAGACTCCTTTTCTGCAGCCTAAACAACCCCAAGTCCCTCAGCCGCTCCTCATAAGACTTATTCTCAAGACCCTTCACCAGCTTTGTTGCCCTTCTCTGGACCCTCTCCAGCACCTCAATGTCCTTATTCACTGTGGGGCGAAGCTTTCAAGAAGACCAACAGCATCCTGGCCTGCATCAGGAATAGTGTGGCCAGCAGGACTAGGGAAGTGATTGTCCCGCTGTACTCGGCACTGGTGAGGCCACACTTCAAGTACTGTGTTCATTTTTGGGCCCCTCACTACAAGAAAGACATTGAGGTGCTGGAGCGTGTCCAGAGAAGGGCAACAAAGCTGGTGAGGGGTCCAGAGCACGAGTCTTATGAAGAGCATCTGAAGGAACTGGGGTGGTTTAGCCTGGAGAAGAGGAGGCTGAGGGGAGACCTTATCGCTCTCTACAACTACCTGAAAGGAGGTTGTAGAGAGGTGGGGGTCGGTCTTTTCTCCCAAGTGATAGGACAAGAGAAAAATGTGTCAAGTTGTGCCAGGGGTGGTTTAGATTGGATATTAGGAAAAATTTCTTCATCTAAAGGGTTACCGAGCATTGGACCAGGCTGCCCAGGGAAGTGGTGGAGTCACCATCCCTGGAGGGATTTAAAAGGCTTGTAGATGTAGTGCTTAGAGACATGATTTAGTGGTGGTTTTATCAGTGTTGGGTTGATGGTTGGACTCGATGATCTTAAAGGTCCCTTCCAACCTAGATGATTCTATAGTTTGAGGGACTTAATCAGTCAAAAAGTTTACTAACTCTTAATTCTTTTGGTTGTGCTTCAGGTGTCTTTAGTGCTGCATGAAGCTTAGAGTGGTCCTGATGTGAAGTTTCATTCCAGTGGCAAGGGGGCTGCGTTATTGCGGTTCAGAGGATGGTGGTGAAATGGGTCAACAGCTGTAGCTAAGTCTTCCCACTTTATGGCAACCATAAAGAATAGTTATTATAGGATATATATTGTCATGTTTTTTCAAAAAGTTCTCTTTCACAAGTTGAGTAAAAGTAGTATTGTGAGTGAGCAAATACTATGTATTCTATCTGTAAATTTGAGTCCTCCGTACTCAGTGAGGTACTGAAGGTACTGATAACTTGCAAATTAGTCTGATCTGTTCTCTTCCCTTTCTGGAAAGACTAGGGCAATGCATATAACTGGAGAAAGTTGTGAGTCCTGCTTTCAGAGAGAACAGAATATTAGGATGGGTTTCTGTCCTGGTTCCAGCAGGGATGGGGTTAATTTCCCCAGGGAGCCGGCAGGGGGGCAGGTATTCCATCCCACCTGACCCATGCCCGGGCTATAAGAGGCTCTAGCCGGAAGAAGAGAGCAGTTGCCACTCGGGGGTTGGCTGCAGTGGTGCGAGTCTGGTTGGTGCACTTCGCAGCAGTATTGTGATCGTGTCTTTATATCCTTTTATCAGTGTTATTGTTTTGTTTTCATCTTCCCTTTTGCTGTTCTGTTAAATTGCACTATTTTAACCCACAAGTTTTCCCTTTCGATTTTTTTTTCCCACAGCTGTGGGAGTGGAGCGAGCGGCTGCATGGTTCTTTATTGCTGGCTGAAGCCAAACCACGACAGTCCTTTTTGGCGCCCAACGTGGGGCTCGAAGGGTTGTAATAACGACAGATCTGACCAGAGCTTGTTAAAATGAATTTCTTGTATACATTTGTCATATTAGTTAGATAGTCGCCGGTTACAATGTTGCTCTGTTTGTTTGCATGGCTGTGTTATGTAAATTCTTATATGCTCTATGTACTCCCTGTGATGCTCTTTGTTATCTCAGGGAGAGAGATCAGGGCTATCATTTTGCTGTCCTGTGCAATATCAGCTTATGATATGATAACATCACTATTGAGGTG